ACAGCTGTTCGTCTCAATATGGTCTAGCTGCGGCCGCGGCCAGTACACGACACTACACGACACGCCCACTACACGACACGCCCACCTGACACGACACTACGGTGGCTGAGAGACATTACCGTACATGGCAGATTAAAAGCGAATTGACGACACTTATTATTAATGAGATCGTACATGGCAGATTAAAAACGAATTGCAAATGTTATTGTAGCATTTTAAGCAACTATTAAGCAAATAAATTAATAACCTAGTCTATCCGTTTGAGACACAACAGTATAACTTTCAACCCAAATCATTTTGTCAACAAACGGTGGTTTAGTAAACTTTTTTTTAATATATAAAATAGGTATTAATGAGATGATCTATTGATTATGTTTGTCTAACTGCTACACATGTATTTTATACATAAATGTAGATATTTGTGAACATCTAAATATAGTTGTTAAAGGTTTTAAGATATACATAATCACATCATGGGGTCATTAAGGAACCAATTAGGAGGGCCAGTCAGGCCACTAATGAGCTCAATCATTCACATGTATTATTACTTTATAAATTAAAAGTACTAGGGGTCTATTACAAAACCTTTGAAGGAATCGCATCAATTAAAATAAATGTATGGCAAGTATGATCAAATTAACATAATGTCAAGATATAGCCAATAGACAATCAACATGCTTTGAATATAAAGGAAGAAGAACAATAAACAGATGAACATTTAGGTTTTATGTGTAAATTGTGAACAAACCATCTTAATACATCTGGCAGTCTAAGACAGCAAACTAAGCTTCTTTAACTGCTGCTAGAACACAGTTTTACCATGGGGTATTTCTAACAAGACCAAAAAGATATACAAGGCTTCCAAAATAGAAGAAACCAACTCAATACAGTATTTTAATTTCCTTCAAAACGACAAAAGCACTAATAAAAACCAAATAACAATAACATAAAGGAAAAGTAATTGAAGTGGTTGCCTGTTGTAAATACCTTGGTATCTGGCTTGATGATTGTCTCTTCTCTAATAAGTCAAAGATATGTTTACTGTATATTATAAAAATGCTTGTCATGTAGGCATACTGGAGATGGGAAGGCTTTAGTCAGTGTTGTAGCTGAGATTCTTACCGTTCCAATGATGTATTAATAATAACTTGGATTTATATAGCGCCTTTCATGAGACCCAAGGTCGCTTTAAAAAGAACAGGAGTAGAAACAAACATAACAAAAGGCAGTTAGACGAACAGTTAGACAGACAACACAAATAGATTTAGGGCCAAAGACCTTGGCAGACTTGAGGGCCCTTTTGAAGGCGTCAAGCGTGGGGATGTTGCAGATCTCCGCAGGGAGAGCGTTCCAGAGAGTGGGGGCTGCCATACTGAAGGCTCTGTCCCCGAAGGATCGCAGGTTGGTGCGGGGGGCCAGAGTCTGAAGACCGCAGGTTCCGGGGTAGGGCATGTGGGAATTGTATTGATTTGATACAAGCAAGCCAGTGTTTCATTGTGTACTTTCAACTACAGTATATGGTCCGGCAAGTTCAGCATGCACTGCATTCACTGTGATGAATATACAATAAGACACTGATACCGTTTTCCTCAATGAACATTTATTGAACAGAACATCATGTGAAAAATGTTCCTTTTTAGTTGTAGGCTACAAAAACAACATGTTGTGGTTTTGCGCTTTGACATCAAAAGGTTGGGGGCTGTGGAAATATTGTGCCATGTTGCTGCAGCAGCCGGAGCCATCACTGGAGCGGCCGTCGGAGCCATCACTGGAGCGGCTGTCGGGGCCATCACTGGAGCGGCCGTCGGGGCCATCACTGGAGCGGCCGTCGGGGCCATCACTGGAGCGGCCGTCGGGGCCATCACTGGAGGAGTCGTTGTGGTTGCTGGGGCCGCCGCCAACGTAGTTGGATGTTCAGTGCAGCAGTTTTTAAAGTGACTAATAAACATCTCCTTTCTCCCAATGATTCTTGGGCAAAAGCCACAGTGATAATGGCTGCTGGCCACACATTTGAGATGGCATTTATAAACATTATAACCTAAAAAAAAGAGACAGAAAGTGGTTTAGAGGATTCTAGAAACAAACCAACATGAATTTCTTGTAAATATGCAATTTGAAACAAGGTGTTTGTGCGAGAGCAATAAATAATCATGTCACCAACAATAATATTTTTGCCTATAAACTGATTTTTTGCAGATTGAATGTGTGATTATGCTCATATTGTGCCTACCCCAAATAAGGATATTTTTCCAGCATTATTAACACTTCATAACCTGAATATAAATCTAATTTTTAATGTTCAATTTATAATTCAAAATGAATTTACACCAAGGATGTCCTGGGGCACAGAAATAACACATGTATCCATAATGTGTGAGGCATTAAACACATCTAACAAGTAACATGTAATGTAATGTGATGAAGTATACAATGATCATATAGAATTATAGATGTACTTACCTCCATATTTCACAAGTGCCCTCTGGTGGCTCTGCAAATGAGCCATCAGACCAGGGTATGACCCGGTCCTTTCACAAAATGGACACTGGAAGGTGTCCGAGTCCAATTTGTTGAGCTCTGGGCGTGCTCCATCACGGAGTGTTGTGTTGTTTGTCTATAGGTGAATAAAATAGAATACAATTTCAGTGACTTTAATATTGGAAATAGTTAACTCCTTAAACAAGCAGCAATGGACTGGCCTGTATAATCCTATGGGACAAAGCTGGTCATACTTCCTCACTTTCAGAAGGTAACCCTTTAACTGCCAGCGCCACCATTTGGTAGAGCACATTTTGTGTCTTGATATCTTGTTGAAAAAAAAAAAAGTTTAACTCCATCTGATTCAGCCAGCTCTACCTTTTTGGTTGACATGTTATGCACAAAACAACCTCTAGATGTCACTGTGGTTCGAACAGAAAGCCCTTCAGCTAGTTTAAATCTTTATATATACGGTCTATGGTTTAAATGTCAGGCCTACAGCATGGCCACAAACCCCATCTAAAAACAGAGGCCTGATTGCATCCACCTGGGTTACTTGGCTCTACCCAATAACTATATATCATTTAACTTTAAACCACACTTAAAATAATAATATAATTATACATATGTGCATGTCAGTATAGCAGCTAATACATGTTTTTTTTTTAAAACATTCAAATGTGAAAGACACCTTCAATGAATATTTAAAATCAGATTCTTGTAAAAATGCGAGTACATGCATTGTTCCATCTGTCAAGCTAAAATATATACATATATCTTAGCTCTTAGCTTGACATGCTAACTGAACGAGCATGTTCAGTTAGCATATATGCTAACTGAACGTCGAGCATGTCAAGCTAAGAGCTAAGATATATATATATTTATATGTATTCCATTCCTTTACATTTAATATTTAAAATACAAATTAGCTAAATAAACACAATTACACTGCGCTAAACAGCCACATCGACAAACAAACGAGAACCTAAATAGTATGTAATTATATCTAAAACCACAATACGTTAATTACCTGTACTCGGTGCGCCATATTGTTTGTCTGTTCTCTGAACCTCATGTCTCTTTAAATATCCTTGCATCAGCGTCAGTGTCGTCAATTCGCTTTTAATCTGCCATGTATGGTAATGTCTCTCAGCCACCGTAGTGTCGTGTCAGGTGGGCGTGTCGTGTAGTGGGCGTGTCGTGTAGTGTCGTGTACTGGCCGCGGCCGCAGCTAGACCCTTCTCGTTCGTCTGACAGCAGCCAGCTCTGTCCCCGTTATTTTCACAAACACCGCCGCCTCTGTTAGTACACCTTTACTGACACAAACATTTGTATCATCTGTTGTAGACCCAAATAAATAAAATCAAATAAGAACTCATTCTCAAAAAAGATAAACGCCATTCTTAAAATGTATAAACGAATATTAGTTTGATTAATATTGATTAGAGTGCACAATAGAAATAAAATAATTCAGAGAAGAAAAAGAGATATGTTATCTATCAAAACCCAGTTAGATTAACATTCACTGGATTGCACACTTTGTTTGTGTGGAATCCACACAAACACACTGTGGATATGTAGCAAATTAACATTTTAAATAGCACTTAATGACTGACTGAATGGAAATGACAATAAATGAAAATGTAAAACGAAAAAAGCGATCATGAAAATGTTTCCAATAAATGAATAAAATAATTTTTGACCACTTTGTTGTTCAGATATATCACATATTTGTAACTGAATGATGCATTCATTGAAACAAAACACAGTATAAACTGAGGAGTGAGTCCCGTGAGTTTCATGTGTTTTCTTCACTCCGCTGGGAAACTGCTCTCATGTCAAGAAGCATCAGATCAGTGCATGCGCTGCATCGTCCAATCATTGAGCGATACACAGTAAGGGGGCGGAGCGAGTGTCTGAGGATTTCATTGAAGGATGGTCTGGTGGTTCCTCGATTATAGCTCCTCCATTATCGCTCCTCGCTCCTCGATCCTCCGGCAAAAATAAGGCCATTGGGACGCTACTCAAGATGGCGCAGACAAATCAACTTCCGGTGAGACCGAGACCGAGGGTGTTTCTCAATCGCGAGTACGCTTGCTTGGTAGAACATGTCTGCCGAGCATCTTGCTTCAGAAGCGAGTCAAGAATACTTCCTGGCATTCGGAAAACAAAGAGTGGAACACGCTAGCAAGTGTGCAGGTGTGCGTCATATGAGAGGCCTCACCTTACATCTTCCGCCACAGATTTGGGAAATTGGTCCGTGCGCAAAGCATTGTGGGGATTTTAAGACCGCGGAGTCTACTCATGTGCAGCCTCGATATTTCTCCAAACGGAGTACGCCGGGCTCGGTAGATTTCCAAGTATGCTGGAGATTGGAACAGTACTTCGGCGGCACTCGATGACGTAGTATGCTTGAAATAGTGGCTCTGCAGCAGCTTTACTCGCGATTGAGAAACACCCTGAGGAAAAATAAGAGAAGTGAAACGCAGCCCCTGTGACGGAGGGCAGAGGAAACAAAAGAGGATTTTGACATTGTTGAACAGAGCTGAGACGCCATTACAGGGTGTGAGATCTCTGCTGCGAGACACGTTTGGAGTATATTTGGGGAGAAGTGGAGAGACATTGAAAGTTGGTGAGTCCTGCTATTGAAAATAACTTTAATATCAAATGGCTGAGAAAACCGTTCTTGTTGAAAGTTTCCTGAGCTGCCATGTGTGTTCAGAGACTTTCAGAGATCCCGTGTCTCTGGGCTGCAACCACAGCTTCTGTTCGAGCTGCCTGCAGAAATTCTGGGAACAAAGTAAGAACAAAAACTGTCCCATTTGTAAAAGAAAATCTTCAAAAGAATTTCCCAGAGTGAACTTTACACTGAAGGAGCTGGCTGACTCCTTTGCAGAGAGACAGAAAGCTGGATCATCTGAGACAGAAAAAGGAGAGAAGAAGGTGGAGGTGGTGTGTAGTAAACATCCAGAAGAGCCTAGATTGTTCTGTATGGATGAAGAGAGAGCTGTGTGTCCTGTCTGTGAGTTTTCTCTCCACCAGAGTCACAAGGTGGTTCCTGTAGAACAAGCAGTCAGTGAGCTGAAGGACCTGCTGAAATCTGACTTAGAGTCTCTGCAGGACAAGAGGGACAAATACAAAGGAGTGGAGGAAACATACAAGGAAGTGATTCAAGTGTCCGAGAAGCAGCTGCTGTCCACAGAGAGGCAGATCAGAGCAGAGTTCATCAAGCTCCATCAGTTCCTGAAAGAGGAAGAGGAGTCCAGACTGGCAGCTCTGAGGGAGGAAGAGGAGCTGAAGGGGAAGACTATCAGCAGAGAGATGAAGAGCATTCAGGAGCACATCTCCTCTCTGTCACACAGTATCTCTGCTGTTGAAGAAGAGCTGCAGAAACACAACGGGCCCTTCCTCAGCAGTTACAAAGCCACTCAGAGCAGAGCCAGAGTCCAGAGCTCACTGTCAGACCCACAGCTGCTCTCAGGAGCGCTGACAGATGTGGCCAAACACCTGGGCAACCTGTCCTTCAGAGTCTGGGAGAAGATGAAGGACCAGGTCCACTTCAGTCCTGTCATTCTGGACCCAAACACTGCAGACAGCTGGCTCTCTCTGTCTGATGATCTGACCAGTGTGAGAGATGGAGACAAAGATCAGCAGCTTCCTGATAATCCAGAGAGATTCACTGAGTATGCTAATGTTCTGGGCTATGAGGGCTTCAGCTCAGGGAAACACAGCTGGGAGGTGGAGGTGGGAGATCATCCTGGCTGGAATATAGGTTTGACTAAAGAGTCAGTTGACAGGAAGGGAGAGATACCAGGTGCCTCACCAAAATATGGAATCTGGTGTTTATGGCATCGCAGTGGAAAATACACTGATGGTGATGGTAAGACTGTCAGAGTGAAGAAGAATCTCCAGAGGATCAGAGTCCAGCTGGACTATGACAGGGGGGAGGTGTCCTTCTACGACCCTGAAGACATGACTCCCATCTGCACTCACAGAGATACTTTCACTGAGAAACTCTTCCCATATTTCAGTATTGGAAAAGCTGGTGATGCTAAAACTGCTGATATCAAAATCTGTCAAAGTGAGATTCCTCTGTGATGTTCAGGAGTGTTGGTTCAGACTTTATTCTGACTTCGTCTGTCTAGATCCTTTTGAAATAATCAAGGTAAAAAACAACAGATGATAATCAGAATTACATTTGAGTGTGTAAGATTTTAAATGTTAAGATTTGATCATGTTTTATTTACAGAGTTTTACACGTTTTACTCAAAGTCTCAGTGCAACAAAACTAATCATTTGTTTATTTTTTATAGTTTATCATTTTGTTATACTTTATTATAATGTGTTTATAGTAGGGCTGTCAAGTTAACGCGTTAATAACGCGTTAACGCAAAAAAAAATTAACGCCACTAATTATTTTAACGCGATTAACGCATGTGTATTTTTTGTCCTCGGCCGCCGTAGTTTCAGAGCGCATCGAGTGAATACCATCGACAAGCTGATGCTGACAGCCTCGCTCCTGCCGCCCGCTTGTGGCAGACCACACTTCCACGCTCACCGGCAGGCCCGGACTGGCCATCGGGAGGACCGGGAGGGAGTGTGTATGTGTGGCGCGACTCGCGCGAGCGAGGCACACCTTACGTGTTGTTGTTGTTAGCATCTGTTGCTAGCTAGCTGCGCTAACGGATATAAGGAGCTGTTTCAATGACATTTCGCCGACAACTGCGCCGAGCACTTGACTTTATGCAGGTAGTCAGACAGTGGGACATTGTACGAAAAGTCAGCACACTCAGCACGGATAGTACGCGCAACATGATTGCAGCGTCCAGGCAGCTCCCATTCGAGTATATTATGCCTTGAGCTGCACATAGCTCCAACGATTCATCAGTGTACACACACACACACACACACACACACACACACACACACACACACACACACACACACACACACATACACACACACACACACACACACACACACACACACACACACACACACACACACACACACAGTATTATTGTATGAGAGAGGTTCCAGGTTGAATTGAGCTGAATATTTGTAATGTTCAGGTTGTTGTGTTTAATATTCATGAGAATATTTGTCATTGTTCAAATGATAATAAACAAACATATAAAGCATATTTGTCCACTCATATGTTGATAAGAGTATTAAAAACTTGAAAAATATCCCTCTAAGGTACATTTAGAACAGATAAAAAATGTGCGATTAATTTGCGATTAATCGCGATTAACTATGGACAATCATGCGATTAATCGCGATTAAATATTTTAATCGACTGACAGCCCTAGTTTATAGCTTTAAAGGTGGGGTAGGTAATTCACTTCTTTTTGATATTTGTAGGTCTTTTGATGAATTATGTTTAGATTAGACAAACTATAATATAAATAAATAACTTCTTAATGATTTAATCTCTTCTTATTTTTTGCATTGCATCCCTTCAAACATCTGTTTTAACCTCAACATGAATTGACAGCCAAACTCATGAAATCTATATTTCCTTTTGTGAAGTCATGTTGTTAACCTGCTGTAAACAAAGAAGCTCCCACCCTGATGAAGGAGAATCAGCAGAAAACATGTGAGGGGTAAAGCATGGCATACTGGAGCTGTGCCACGTGTTTGATTTGATGGAGTTGTTTTGATTCTCTCTTAGAAACAGTCAGGAGTCACATTTACCTTTCTCCAACTCCACTGCAGCATTATAACATATAACAAGTAGCTTCAACATTAAAAAGAGTAATGCATTACAATCATTTCCTGCTAAATACATATTTATTCACTTTGATACTCTGTCTTCATTTACTTCAAATCCCAATGATCCAGTTGTTGATCAGCTGTGTTATTTAAAGGTCACCTATCATGCTATTTTTAGGCTATAGCATAGGTCTCAGATATATACAAATATATAAAAAACATGTCAATGAAGTGTTTTGCTCAAAATACCAAACAGATCACCCATTCTAGCCATGCCTCATTTCCTCTATTTCACTTCCTGTTTCAAATGTGCTGATTTGGGATATAAAACTTAAAAAAAAATTGATTTAAAAAGAAAAGAGGGGCGGAGCTTATGCGGGACCCGGCAGCTACTGTCTAAACTAAATACTGCCGTGATGAAACGCCATATCATGGATTATCAAGGATTATTTCTGAAACAGTATGGAGCTCAAAGGCTTTCTCTCTTGCCAGTTATACCACAAGGTGAGTTCCTTTTTATTTCCTGCTTCTTCACACACATGCTCTCCAGTACAGGTTAGCTCTGAGTGTTAGCGATGCTAATGTAAACATGCACCGACCATATTACGTCCAAAACAGTCGGGCATTATTTCTGATAGCAACTTTCTGATGGGGCCGTGGGTGTAAAGCCAGCCTACATTTCCGATATTACGCCGTATCGGACGCAAATCTGGATCAGCCCCGTTTTTAGAGATTTGAGTACGGAGGAAAAGAGAGAGGGTTTTATTTTCTGACGCTGCGTGAGTTCCCCGACACACCGGGGACACATATTTATGTATAAAAGACATGAAAAAGTGCATTTTGCATGATACAGTAGGTCCCCTTTAAAGTAAGACTTATTGCTGGTATTTTTCACTTAATCTAGGTAAACATGGTTTATATAAAAAGTAAACTAGTATTTCCCCTTTAACTTTTTTTGTTATAATTCACTTGCCTTAAACATTACAATTTACTTTTATAATTTAGTTTTTAATCAATTAGCCTAGCTTGAAGACAGAAACTGTATATTTATATATACTGTGAGGTTCAAAGCATAATAGCATTTAATAAATATATTAAATGAAGTGGTAAACCTGTCATGAGCCCCCCCAGAGTGATATCAAATAAAGGTTTGGTACTTACATATCCACGTTCCAGACTTACATCTCCTCTGCAGAAACGTTGAAGCTGGTGAAAACATCTGGAAGCTGAAAACAATTTACTTCAATCTTTCATAAGAGGCCCTGTTCTGTCTGTTTGGGGCGTTCCTCTGCTGTAGTGTAATATAGGTTTTAGTGCATGTGAATGGTCTCAGAGGCTAACATCCCTGTGTTCCTCCAGAGGGAGTTTCTGTCCTGCCTGAAACGCCTCCATTGGACTCCTTTGTTTACTTCTGTAACATAAGCCACTTTCACACCAAGTACTTTGCCGTACTTAGTTCCCAGTACTTAGTCCCGCCGAACTCTTTAGTCTCGTAAACTGTCTTAGTAAATCGCATTCACACCTGAATAAGTCCCTGAGGGAGGATTAGGCAAATGAAGCCGCTGACGTCACTTCTTCTTCTTCTTCTGCTTTGGGTTTACTGGCAGGCCGCAAACAACTTCACGGCGTATACTGCCACCCGAGTCCCCCGGGTAAATCGGCAGAGCGCCGACACCTCCTCATCACTCCACCGATCCCACGTTTTATTTTGTGTTGCCATAAGTTAGTCTCTCTGCGTTTCTGCGCTGGGCTAATGCTAATGCTAATAATGCTAATGCGAGCAAATAAAATTCCGGCTTCACAAAACCTTTTGGGAGTTTTACGGGGCGTGGTTTGCAATCCGCCCAGCCAATCAGAAATTGGAACCTTTTTCTCCCACGAAAGTACCTGCTCTCTAGCAGGGACTAAAAAGGTTCTCATGAACTAAGTTCTAGTTCCAGATATTTTTGGTGTGAAAGCAAATTCCCAAGAACTATCGGAACTATTCCTGGGAAAAGTACTCCGGTGTGAAAGCGCCTATTGTGACATCACTATGTAACACCTGCGCTTCTATTGGCTAGCGCTCCAACACATTGAACATTAAAGCACGGAAACATGTCACAGGAAATACAGGCAATCTGAACCTGAAGTTAAGCAGAGAACGACCCCTTTAAACAAACACTGAGGAAATAAAGAAACCCTCACAGCTTCAGATGGATTTCAGTTCATAATCCTTCATATTATATCATGTGTACTCTGATATTGGAAGAGTACATTCAGGATTTTCCCAACACATTTAAACAGAACAGGTGTGTGTGTGTGTGTGTGTGTGTGTGTGTGTGTGTGTGTGTGTGTGTGTGTGTGTGTGTGTGTGTGTGTGTGTGTGTGTGTGTGTGTGTGTGTGTGTGTGTGTGTACCTGATGAGCGTGTGCGTACCTGATGAGCGTGTGTGTACCTGATGAGCGTGGTCCAGCAGGAGCGTCCGTCCAGGCAGCGAAGGTAACTGCTGATCGTTGTTTTCTTGAACTGCTTCACGTCCTCCAGCTCTTCTTCTCTCATGTCGGCTCTCTGAGCCACGAACAGCTGCGTCAGGTTGAACAGCTCCTCCACCGCCTGCAGGGGGCAGCACACATCTTAGTTTAGCATTTACAATATTGGGTATTTTAGATCGCAGTACTGTACTTAAGTACATTTTTCTGGTATCAGTACTTTACTCCACTACTTATTTTTCTGACGACTTTTTACTTTGACATCTTACATTTTGAACCCAAATACCTGTACTTTCTACTTCTAACATTTTCCAAACAGGCTGGTTTCTTTATTTTGAATGTGTGTTTGGTGGCGTGATCATTATTATCTAAGTAGTGGGGGAGTTTTATACACTTAAGGTGTGGAAATTCTCAGCGCGGCCGCGGTCAGATCAAAATGCCTCCGAATGCGAAACGTTGGATCTGCGTCATGCCTTATTGATTGAGATCAATCGAAACCGCCATTCAGTATCCCCATTGGATCTTCAACGTGTACTATCATACGTCACGTTCACAGTGATCCCTTTTTATTTACTACAAGACAAATGTGCCGTTTTATTGCATACAGTTCCATTTTGATTGAGACAGGGAAATAATCTAAACCTCACGCGTGGCGTTTCACTGTCAAGGGGGGCGATATAGCGTGTATGTAATTACATTGCAAATACTGACTTGAGCACCACCACTGTATGGGTTAGCCCTACCATAGATTACCCAACAAAAATGCTCTGGCACCGCCACTGACCCCCAGGAAGATTATTTTTTAATGTTGAAGTGAAATGCATCAATCTGGAGCACTTTGAGCACCAGATGAATTGATGGATACAGCTCTCAACACTCAGATGAAAGAGAGCTGTATACTTTTCAATAATCCAAACATCTTTAGAATATGATCACAACTAGTGATGGGAATTCCGGCTCTTCTTGGTGAGCCGGATCATTTGGCTCGGCTCACCAAGAAGAGCCGGCTCTTTCGG